TGTAGACGAGATGCCAGATCAGGGCCAATTATATTGCATATTCACCTCTGGAGCCTATCAAGAACCCCGAGGCAAACAGAAGGGGCTCCAGACCATGTTTTCCAGTAGATTTCTTAATTGCTATTCACTATAGCTTTTAGTATAATTCCTGTTATTTTCAATATTTTTATTTCATAATATGAAAGTTGCACAAAGACCAGTTTTTATTATTATTATTATTTATTAATATTTATTAACATTTATTTGTTTACCATAGATAATAGTCCATAATCAAACCAAATCATAAAAATTTGTAAGAAAAAACTATGGAAAAACATCACTTGTAAATATAGTAATAATTCTAAGAAGGCAGTGCCAATTTCAAATCAGAATCAAAGCCCGTGCTTCTTAATAAAGTGACTTTCTCTTATTTCGTGGGTTCATGCTTTTCCATCCTTCCTTAATTGCTTTTTGTGATTGTTTCACCACGTCAAAGTGGTTTCGTATTTCACTTCCAGAAACAGAAAACGAAAGTCTGTAAAAAAAAGAATTAGTGCATTCTACTCCCACTTATATCAAGCCTTCCTCACGTTATCTCAAAATAGCTTAACGCATCAGGACTCTTTGGAGAGACGAAAGAATATAAATTAAGTGTGGGTGGGGGAGAAAAGAAGAAAAACGGAAAGAAGTAACGAAAAACGTTTAAATTAGTCCCCGCTGTTTCAAATCAGTTCAACGTACAAAAACTAAAAAACGGAATAAAATTCACCCATTTCAAACGATTATCTGCAAGAAAATAAAGCAAACAAAAACAACTTCGAACCTAAAATTTGTAAAATCAATTTGATCCTAATAAATAAATGAATTCATTTAAAATAAAATATAAATTAACTTACATAATTTATTCATTCATGATCGAAATAATTTCATCATTCTCTTTCAGAACATGTGCGATCATGACTCTCCACAGCCTCTCGTCTTTTGTTGTTCTAAGTTACATTTGTCCACTCACTATCCCTCTTTCTATGTGTTCCACATCAGTGCTCGATCGAGTGGATAGAGCGTTAACGATCCGACCTTGAGATGTACGTTCGAATTTTCCCAGTGGTCGATTCGAGTGTGCTTCATCTTTGTATGGTGTGTGTGCGTATATATATATATATATATATATATATATATGTGTGTGTGTGTGTGTGTGTGAAAATAATACCACTGGTTGATCTAAGCCTTTTTGTATTAGACGAAAAACTGTCAAGATTATGCTAGCACAAAGTCACATGTCTTCTTGGCTGTTGTGTTGAGTATACCGGCCTTATTCAACCAAGTCGTATTCAAACTCTTGATCACGCCAGGTTGTACGTTCTTTCACATAGATCCTAAGTTCCATTCAGTATAGTTGCTGTATAGACCACTTGTATGACCACGAATATGTACGAGTTATCTACAACAGAGATTTACTCGCCATATTGGCAAACGGACATAGGCAGAAATGAGTACAACCATTACTTACCTCTACATATCATCTATTTGCAAAAACTTCATAGAGTTCGAAAGCGTCTGCACGGCCTTGTCGTTTATAAATTATTTTCCCACCTTACAAACCCTATCCGATAGACAGAATTATCTTCAGTATCTGTCTATATTTCTGAAATGAGGTGTTATGTACACTATTTACATTATTCGGACTATTGCCCTTATCTTTGTCGCCATATTTATCACAACGTTTCAACCGTTGTACGTTGTACGCTCCGGCCTTCTTCAGGTGGTTGGATAATGTAAATAGTGTACATAGCACCTCATCTTAGAAATATAGGCTCCAACCACCTGAAGAAGGCCAGAGCGTACAACAGCCGAAATGTTCTGATAAATATGGCAACAAAGATTAGGACAATAGTCTGAATAATGTAAATAGTGTACATAACACCTCATCTCAGAAATATAGACACCAACCACCTGAAGAAGGCCGGAGCGTAAAACGGCCGAAACGTTGTGATACATATGTCAACAAAGATGAGGACAATAGTCCGAATAATGTAAATAGAACTATTTTCGTAGTAAATGTTCTGACGAGCTATATTTCTTAGTTCCACGAGTTCATGCCTTCACAGTAATGCTCTCGCTACTCTATCGCTATTTCCATGGCAAATATCCTGACGAGCTACATTCTTTAATTCTACCAGTTCAGGCCTTAACAGCTAAGCCTATCACTACCCTATCGCTATTTCCATGGCAAATGCTCTGACGAGCTATATTGCTTAGTTCCACGAGTTCAGGCCTTCGCAGCAAAGCCTATCACTACCCTATCACTATTTCCATGGCAAATATTCGACGAGCTACATTGCTTAGTTCCACGAGTTCAGGCCTTAACAGCTAAGCCTCTCGCAACCCTATCGCTATTTCCATGGCAAATATTTGACGAGCTACATTGCTTAGTTCCACGAGTTCAGGCCTTAACAGCTAAGCCTCTCTCGCAACCCTATCGCTATTTCCATGGAAAATATTTGACGAGCTACATTGCTTAGTTCCACGAGTTCAGGCCTTTGCAGCTAAGCCTATCGCAACCCTATCGCTATTTCCATGGCAAATATTTGACGAGCTACATTGCTTAGTTCCACGAGTTCAGGCCTTAACAGCTAAGCCTCTCGCAACCCTATCGCTATTTCCATGGCAAATATTTGACGAGCTACATTGCTTAGTTCCACGAGTTCATGCCTTAACAGCTAAGCCTCTCGCAACCCTATCGCTATTTCCATGGCAAATATTTGACGAGCTACATTGCTTAGTTCCACGAGTTCAGGCCTTTTGCAGCTAAGCCTCTCGCAACCCTATCGCTATTTCCATGGCAAATATTTGACGAGCTACATTGCTTAGTTCCACGAGTTCAGGCCTTTGCAGCTAAGCCTCTCGCAACCCTATCGCTATTTCCATGGCAAATATTTGACGAGCTACATTGCTTAGTTCCACGAGTTCAGGCCTTAACAGCTAAGCCTCTCGCAACCCTATCGCTATTTCCATGGCAAATATTTGACGAGCTACATTGCTTAGTTCCACGAGTTCAGGCCTTAACAGCTAAGCCTCTCGCAACCCTATCGCTATTTCCATGGCAAATATTTGACGAGCTACATTGCTTAGTTCCACGAGTTCAGGCCTTAACAACTAAGCCTCTCGCAACCCTATCGCTATTTCCATGGCAAATATTTGACGAGCTACATTGCTTAATTCTACCAGTTCAGGCCTTAACAGCTAAGCCTCTCGCAACCCTATCGCTATTTTCATGGCAAATATTTGACGAGCTACATTGATTAGTTCCACGAGTTCAGGCCTTTGCAGCTAAGCCTCTCGCAACCCTATCACTTTTTCCATGGCAAATATTTGACGAGCTACATTGCTTAGTTCCACGAGTTCAGGCCTTAACAGCTAAGCCTCTCGCAACCCTATCGCTATTTCCATGGCAAATATTTGACGAGCTACATTGCTTTAGTTCCACGAGTTCAGGCCTTTGCAGCTAAGCCTCTCGCAACCCTATCGCTATTTCCATGGCAAATATTTGACGAGCTACATTGCTTAGTTCCACGAGTTCAGGCCTTTGCAGCTAAGCCTATCGCAACCTTATCGCTATTTCTATGGCAAATATTTGACGAGCTACATTGCTTAGTTCCACGAGTTCAGGCCTTCACAGCTGAGCCTCTCGCTACCCTATCGGTATTTCCATGGCAAATATTTGACGAGCTACATTCCTTAATTCTACCAGTTCAGGCCTTAACAGCTAAGCCTCTTGCTACTCTATCGCTATTTCCATGGCAAATCTTCTGACGAGCTACATTCCTTAGTTCCACCCGTTCCAACCATCACAAGTAAGATACGCCATGACACTTAAACAATTGTTCTTATTCCCTTTATATTCCATTCGTAAGAAAAAAGTTTCATTCAGCCAGCTTCTTCCTAAGAAACCTCTTCTTTGTGGCACAAACTACCAAGAAGTTGCGCCCCCCGTTCGCTGCAATCTTGACCTCTTCAAGTCTAGGGTCAACCTGTTATCTATACTACATAGCCTTATAATCTAAACTTCTCACAGACTCTTCTTACGGCTATAAAACGAACTCATTCAGTAAACCTCTATCTTGAGTGGCTCTTAAGCCTTGTAATGGGTAAACAATTAACGTTGGATGCTCACTGTTGTCCTTTGTTTCACTAGATTTCAGTGTGCCATATGAGTGCTAATTTTTCCAAACAACCTTTCCCCATTATGTGTCCCAGAAATTACGAGGTGATGTCATCCAATTATTGCAACAAGATAAAATAAACTCGCATTTGAAGAATCCGAATTTATAGGCAAAACATTTCGTGTTTTTTTTTTCCAAAAGAGCGACGTTTGTTTATCTTTTATTTCCTTCTTTCTTCGGTAAGGGAATATTTCAAATGACAGTTATTAGCTCCAAACACAGATGATGAAATGTCACCAGTTTATCCTGTTTTATCCTGATTTAAACCTGGAGCCCATATCTAAAAATATTCCTACCCCCCCCTATTTCTTTCCTGAGAAAATCAATTCAGAATATATGAGTGGCTCATAATAATGTTCAGGGAAACAGTTTGTTTCTTTCAACCTAAACAATGAGAGAAAAAAAAAGAAGTACTCTTATCAACAACCAGCCCCACAAAATATGATTTCAAAATATTCTTTAATATGTTCAATAGTTTCTTTTTAGTTTTGTGCTTCCTCGTTGTTCACATGCCTCGTCCATGGTATTCTTAGCATTCTATCTCTTCGAGTCTTTTCTTCGTCTGTGAGCAAATTTTTGTCTGCCATATGGTGGATTAGATATTATATGGGCTTCAACTTCCTTTTTTGTTTCACACAATATTTTACTCCGTGTATGGTATTGCTAGCATTCTATCATCTATCGCTTTAAGTTTTTTTCTTAATCTGTGAGGAAATTGTTTCGCATTCACTGCCATTATAGGAGATTAAATATTATATAAAGTTCAGGTGTCTTTCCCTGAATAAGTTTAGCATTTTAATGACCACTATCTATCTATCTATCTATCTATCTATCTATCTATCTATCTATCTATCTATCTATTTCAGTCTGTTTATTATCTATCTATCTATCTATCTATCTATCTATCTATTCTGTTCTTATCCATCTATCTGTCTATTCTGTTCTTATCTATCTATCTATCTATCTATCTATCTATCTATCTATCTATCTATCTTTTTTATCTATCTATCTATCTATCTATCATCTATCTATCTATCTCAGTGTATTCGCTATCTCTCGCTCTCTCTCTCTCTAGCCATCTCAGTGTGTTTTATCTAACTATCTCAGTGTATTCGCTATCTATCTATCTATCTATCTATCTATCTATCTATCTATCTATCTATCCTGTTCTTATCTATCTATCTGTCTATTCTGTTCTTATCTATCTATCTATCTATCTATCTATCTATCTATCTATCTATCTATCTATCTATCTATCTATCACTGTCCTTATATATCTATCTATCCATCCATGTATGTGAGCGCAAGTAATTGTGACAAAGAGAGAACCTGGAGTTAGCCTCATAGAAGATTTCCGTAGAGTTGCATGTCATACCGATGACCACTATCTATCTATCTATCTATCTATCTATCTATCTATCTATCTATCTCAGTGTATTCGCTATCTCTCGCTCTCTCTCTCTCTCTAGCTATCTCAGTCTATCTATCTATCTATCTATCTATCTATCTATCTATCTATCTATCTATCTAACCCGTCAGTAATGAATCCTGGTAGGTCTTCTTAGCTACGACTATTGTCCTCATCTTTTTTTATTTTTATCACAAAATTTCAGCCTTCACCATATGTGTATCGATCCGCGTGACATTGCGGGAATTCCGTATTGAACCCTTTATTTAATCTACGCGGACAGGCTGTTCTCGTTCAACTGCCCATGTCTAGGGATATCTCATCTACGTAGTACTTATTTCTAGTACGGCTTAGTTATTTATCGCCTCGTTTCCACTGAGTCCAAGTCCACACTATTGTCTTGTAGTCGATTAAAGCCTTGTCTCGTGAATTTGTGAGTTCAATCCCTCGGCCTGACAGTGTGTACTTTGACTGGATGGAAGCAGTACGAAGAATAACGACTATAAAAGATATCCCTTGACATGAGCAGTGGGACGAGTGTCTATGCCACTTCGTAGATAAAATAAAATTGTTTAATCCTGAATTCCCTATAGGTTACCTGGATGGAAATACAGCTGATGACGACCGGAGAGAACAACGGTTGAAATATGGTAAAAAAAAAAGAAAGAAAGAAAGAAAAGATGAGGATAAAGTCTGAATGTAAATAGAGTACAGAAACAATTGATAGTTTGGAATAAAACAAATAACTAACAATAGTTGAATCAGATTTTTATACTTTACTAGCATTAGAGCCCGGCGTTGCCCGGGGATGTAACAGTAAGAGATAGATCAAGTATCGACCATCATAAAGACTGAAAAATAAAATTGACGAAGATTATTGTTTAAGGTTGACGGACATGCATGTCTCAATTAGTTTTTTTTTTTTTTTTTTTTACGAATTGGTCAAACCCAAACTAAAACAAAAACATTGTTTTCAATCGTTATGAGTCTATCGATTGAATAGAATTTTATTATAAACATTTGTCTTGTAAATGGAATTTTTAAAGCATTCTGAATGTAAAAATAAAGAAAAAAAGTTTGCAAGACAACAAGAAACACTACCTGCCAAAAAAATTGAAGTTTTGTTGAAATCGGTTGAAAAATGTAGGAAATCCGATCCCATATATAAACGAATACACACACACAAACAACCTGGGTTTTATAATAAGTATAATTCGATATGAGTTGTCCCCCTTTCATTCTCGTGATACCTCTTAATCCTGTTTTCAAATTGATTTCGTGCAAAAACAATTGTGTTTTTCCAATTTTTAGCGCTGTCAGAACCACCGCAAGGTAATTTTACACAGTCCTGTGAAGTTTTGTTGAAATCGGTTGAAAAATGTAGGAAATCCGATCCAACATATAAACGTACAGACACACACACAACCTGGGTTTTATAATAAGTATGATTACAGACAGATTCAATATTTGATAAACATTCTTAAGTCTTTTATTTATTTGTAACCTATTCGTTGCTTGGATACAAATTCCATGTTTACATTGAATTCTTTTTTCATCGTCAGGCGGTCGGTGACTATAGTATTTCTAAATAGGGAAGCTTTATACTCACTCTCGGGCAAATCCAAGACGGTCATAGTGTAGCCTGTGCGTAGATGTCATGCATACACCAACAAAATTCAGCGGGGTGTGAATGTGCGGTGGGCAGGGTAACCTATCCGGCCAAGATCAAAATAGCTGTAAATATCACAATTAGTAATAAAAAATTAAATCCACCAGAATTGGTTACATGCACTGAAATCAACGGCGGAGTTCACTATTCATAACATTGTCGAAAATATGCTATATTTGTGAGGGGGGTGGGTATAGTACCACCACCACGGGTGAAGCGTTTATGTATATAAGGATCGTGGTATGATGATCGATGTAGGTGTGAAACTGGTAGTCACTATGAAAATGACCACTATCTATCTATCTATCTATCTATCTATCTATCTATCTATCTATCTATCTATCTATGTGTATTCGCTATCTATATCTCTCTCGCTGTGTTAATATCTATCTATCTATCTATCTATCTATCTATCTATCTATCTATCTATCTATCTATCACTGTGTTTATATCTATCTATCTATCCATCTATATGAGCGCACGTATTTGTGACAGAGAAGATCTAGAGATAGATGGAGTTATCCTCATAGAAGATTTCTTCCGTAGAGTTGCATGTCATGCCGATGATGACTATCTATCTATCTATCTATCTATCTATCTATCTATCTATCTATCTATCTATCTATCTATCTATCTCTCTCTCTCTCTCCTAGCTATCTCATTGTGTTTATTATCTATCTATCTCTCTTGTATTCGCTATCTATATCTCTCTCACTGTGTTAATACCTATCTATCTATCTATCTATCTATCTATCTATCTATCTATCTATCTATCTATCTATCTATGTGTATTCGCTATCTATATCTCTCTCACTGTGTTAATATCTATCTATCTATCTATCTATTCTAAGATTTATTAAGAGACTCGAAGTGCACATTAGACGTTTCCTCTGTTCACATCTATCTATCTATCTTTCTATTTATCTATCTATCTATCTCTGTGTATTCGCTATCTATATCTCTCTCACTGTGTATTCGCTATCTATATATCTCTCACTCTATCTATCTATCTATCTATCTATCTATCTATCTATCTATCTATCTATCTATCTATCTATCTATCTATTCCAAGCTTTATTAAGAGACTCGAAGTGCGCATTAGACGTTTCCTCTGTTCACATCTATCTATCTATCTATCTATCTATCTATCTATCTATCTATCTATCTATCTATCTATGTGTGTATTATCTCCATTGA